ATACAATATATTTTATTGTTATCATTGACTTATTTAGAGTTTTATTATAACATTAATTCAGTGAATTGATGTGACATTGTAAATAATATCTATAACTTTTTGACGAATAACTTACTGATAAATATTCTATTAAAGATATTAGAGGTAATAGGAGAATATTGAAATAAAACATATAACTAAAATATTTTTATATAATACTTACATCTAAAAAATAGCGAACTTAAAATCTATAGGAGAAAATTTGACAGATACTTGAAAAGTATTCGAAATTTCTTTGTAGTTCAAATGCGTCCAGGAAAGAAAATGATTAATCGATGAACCATCCTTTATGATACGAAATATACCTAACAGTAACGAACTGTATTTGGAAAAATGAAAGCATCAATGAGTCATCATCATCATCATCATCAACCAGCCACTAAAGTCCACTACTGGACGTAGGCCTTCCTCGTTTGCTTCCATAACTTCCTATCCTGAGCCATTTGCATCCAGTTACTGTGGATACGCCTTAAGTCGTCATGCCATCTGTTGGAGGACGGCCACTGCTCCTGAATGCATCGTGTCTTGGTCTCCATTCTATCATTTTCTTCGTCCATCGGTCACCGTTTAGCCTTGGAATGTTATAGCGTTTTTTAAACAACTACCACTGCGAACGGCAGCTTTTCATCGGAGAGCAGTCGTGGATAAGGTATTTCACTGGAAAGAAAACTAATTAATAACAATAAACAAAAAAAAATAGATATTGGGTGCCAGGCATGTACAGAGAAAGAAAAGACAGTTGTATATTACTTAAAACTAATGATTATATTTATTCATGATGTTCGTTGATGGTAAATAACATTGTAGAATTCTAGCCACTATAGTGGTTATAATGTCGAAGAAAGTTATGTTAAAAATAGTACTAAATATGTTCTATGAAAACGACTATGATAAAATACAATACATGTAAAGTTATAGAAAATATATTAAAGGTAGTATTACTTTATTTAATTTGTTAAATTTTATACGATATGAAATCTAAGATATTGCAAGCCGTAGATTCTAGAATCGGTGCGGTTATTCATCTGTCAAAATGATACAATAATAATATATATAGAAAGTAATACAATTACAAAACGCAATATTCGCAAAGAAACTAAGATCTAAATCATATTTTAAATACTAATCTGATATAAGAAATTTAACCACTAAACGTAAAGGCTGTACGATATTATTCAAGATGTACTTTACTGTTTTAAGACTGAAAATCTAAATGTAAAACATAAAACCAGAACTTAAATCTAAACTTAGCTGATTGTTCTCGAGGCAATCCTGCTTCAAACAGTAACAGCGTAACGTGGGACTCGTATCTCTGCACTTTCTCTCGGCTCTACTGTTGGCCAGACTAAAGAGGCCAGGATGAGGACACCATGAACCAATACAGCCGTAACTATTAACTAGGGTTAAAAACAGCAGCAAAGCAGCATGGAGCTTACGCTACATCCACACTGGGACAATCTGTACATGAGAAAAACCATGCACACAGTGGACACTCGTCCATAGGACATCCTTACATAGGATAATGTCCGTACCTTGGAAATAGTCCGTACCTTGGACCATAGGACCCTAAAAATACAAAACTCGTGTTTAAAACCTACCAAGGTGAAATAAACACAATAAACCTAAACGAGGGCTCAGTAATAAACAAAGAAACTGTCCTTTCTTCCATTTAACATTCTGGAGGACAAAAGAAAACTAACGTGTCAGCAAACACCAAATACGAGTTGAGGTGGGCCAATCCAAAACTCTACCCTAAAAATACTCAATAATAATATCGAATCTAATAAAGATAATAACTCATCTTTACCTGTAGCTTCGAAATGGCAGCTGATTCAGATTTTGCAGCAAGATTTAAATTACCATTTCTAAAAGTCGGGGTACAACAGAGCGGCAAAACAAAAGTGAGGTTAAGCGCGGAGAGCGAACCTTGGAGCGATGAAAAAAAAAATATAAAAAAGACATGTAACGAACTAAAAACGTTACAATGTGCCCTGCGCAATTCCATTTCAAAGTAGTTATTATCTATATGGCATATCCATGACTTTTGTTCTGTCCCCCCCCCGTACTTCGATATTCGGTACTTTGTCTCTCAGAGATAGCCAACATTGATCTTTCCGTTGCTCTTTGCGTTATTCTGATTTTGCTTACAGTTCTCTTGGTTAATGTTAGCGTCTCCGCACCATACGTTAGAACAGGTAGTACGCATTGATTGAATAGTTTTCTCTTCAAACATATCGGCAGAGCCTTTTTGAAAATGTATTTCAATCGTCCATAGGCGGCCCAGGTCAGTCCTATTCGTCTGTTAAATTCGCAAGTTTGATTATCGCGACTTATACGTATTTTATGTCCCAAGTACTTGTAAGCTTCTTCTAGTACTTGTAAGTTTCTTCTATTTGATATTGGTTAACATATATTCCGCCGCCAATTACCAGGTTTGTCATCACTTGGGTTTTTGAGATATTTATTTTTAGTCCCATTTGTTCAGAGGTTGCATTCAATTTTTTGTGCTTTATTTACGCAATCGGATATCAATAAGATGTCGTCAGCAAATCGCATGTAGTTCAAGTTTTCGCCATTTATATTTATACCCAATTCATTCCATGCTATCTTTTTGCACATGTATTGGAGCAAATTATTAAATAATTTTGGAGAGATGGTGTCGCCTTGACCAACACCTTTTTTTATATGGAAGTTCTTAGTATTTTCATAAAGCCCAACACAAGCTGTTGTTTGTGTATCAATGTGTCAGAGCAATGTTAAAAACATTGTTTAATTAATTTACATTTTATTATTACCTTCTGTTACCTTTGTATTTTGTATACCTGATGTACAACAATTAATTTTAGTGTAATAGTGTCATTGAGACAGTCAGTTTTTGAGAGCTGTAAGAAAACTATCGTTCCGTACTTTTATAGTTAAATATTCGGCTTTTTTCACTTAACTAGTTCTTTTTTGATAAGTAAAAGTTAGTTTTTATAAAATCGCGACTTTTATTTACTACGGACCGTGTACTCGGTATAAGACGGGTAGTTTTGTATCGTTGCACCTGAACACAATGAGTGCACTATTTAAAATTTCTACGGCACAGTTAAAGTAATATATTTATCGGTATCTACAATTATTTATGTCAGATTTACTTTATAATTATTTTATACAGTATGTCTTGTGACTTCGAATATTTTTTATATATTTTTATTTCGCTTTTCTCATTCTTGATGGTATATTCTGATAGACGGGTGTTCATTATCAAGTACTGTCAGAGTTTCTATTGTTTTGTTTCTATTATTTTAAGAAGGAGCGGGTTATGTTCGTGGTTTTAATGATTACTGCTTTTTGAGCAAGTGTGTGAATATGTGCTTTTAAATTTAAAATATCGAGATTTTCTTTAAATTTCTTGTGTGTGAGACCCGTGCTAGATATAATAAATGGTATGATTTTAACTCCTTTTTGTTGCCATATTCGATCTACTTGCTGTGTTAGTGGAATATATTTCCTAATTTTTTCTTCATATCTTTTTTGTTATGTTATTGTCATTCGGAACACTGATTTCTATTAGATATGTTACTTTCTCTTTTTTTAGTGTTAATGTTATATCAGGTCGATTGCATGTTACTCTCTTGTCAGTATGGATCGTTCTGTCCCAGTAGAGTTTTATAGTGTCGTTTTCAAGGATAGATTGTGGCGTGTACTTGTAATAGGGCTGATTTATATGCCTTAGAGTGTATATAAATGTTAATAACCAGTGAGTATTTTACAACCATTTGTAATATGATCTATTGTTTCACTTTGGAGGTGGCAACACCTGCAGGTATCCGTTTGTTGGGCTCTATCTTTTATTTTGTATTTCCTGTAGATACGCTTTGCTATTACTTGATCTTATATCGCTATAATAGATCCCTCTGTTTCCGGTTGCAGTTGCCCTTTTTGTAACCATGAATATGACAGTTCTTTATCGATAACGGGGTTGTTCATAGTATGACAGTGTTATTGTTAGTTGTTATTATTCAAAATGTTATTTTGCCATGGTGAGAAAACATAATATTAGAGAATATAATTGTAGGTATCTGGGCCCGTATTCTGTAACTTTGACATATAAACGTTACGCTTTCAAAGTGGTGAGCGCAAGTATTCGATCAGCGAAACGCAAGGCAGTCGATTTTGGTATTCTCGTTGCCATGCAAATCGTGTTCTGGATACGTGTTGAGCACATATTGGCAACATCACAATTTCTAATGCAGGTAATAGTCCAAAGTTGATAACTGACGGATGTAACAATGAAAAATGTCAATGTTAGGTGAATTTCATAACCTATTTTTGAGTTATGTCAAGCTATTTTTCTATGGATATGTCATTCTTATTATACTAGGGAAGTGTCGAAGAAGCTTCTCAGCATTTTCGATGTTATGAACAATATTTATAGCTGCCAAGTCGTAAATTATCAATTATTTATTGAGGAATTTATAGAAGCAGTAGTAATTTTCTCTAAAGAGCAATATAACGCACAAAATCACAATTTTTTCGATTTTCACTGACAGTTCGACAAGCAAAACGATCCTTTAAGGCAACCGTTTACAAAGCGCTCAGCGCAATCAGTAAAGACGCTAAGCGCGTCAGACGAGAATACCAAAATCGTTAATTAAGTGCGCGCTCAGCAAAAATTAACGTCATATACGCTGAGCGTCTAAAAGCGCTTAGCGTTTTCAAAGTTACAGAATACGGGCCCTGAATGGGACATGAAAACGTTCATTTTTATTATCTTCCTGAGTTGATTTAACATTTTCTTCTAATTATATTCACCTTGTATGATCCAGTCAGTATCCAGATAATACATAATTAGCAAAACTTTTTATGTAGAATAGCTATTTGCTAAAAGCGAGAAAAAAAAAGAAATATCAAATAAAATTATAACAAACTTTTTTTTAAGAAAAACTTATGATATTTAGATATATTGAATCTTTTAGATACGACAAATATTATGAGAGGGACCCTTACAGCAGATATGAGAAGTACGACCCATATGAAAGATACGATAGATACGAAAGGGAGAGGTATCCATATGACAGATACGACGACTATGATAGAGATTCATACAGGTACAAACTAATTTTTCTAAATTATTTGTGTTACAATTTTATAAACTTTTTATAGGGACAACAGAGGTAGAAACCGATATTCCTCATACGTTGATCGCTACGAGCCCAGGGAACGGTACTACGATAGAGGCTTAGGATATGACAATAGAGGGTACGATTATAGGGATTATGGCGATTATAGAAATAGTTACAGCCCTTATTCTAGGGAAAGGTAGAGTATCATGCCTTAAAAGATAAACTATTTTGTTATAATATTCGGGTTAACCATATTCATAATTTTGCAGACACAACCTTACCGTTTTTGAAATATTTTCAATTTTCAAGAGTTCATTTTTCCAAGGATATCAAAGTTTTCAATACTACATATTTACTGAAGATTATTTATTAATCAGATATTGTGTTGCGATAATAAAAATTATTCTACCTTGTGAGTATCCAAGAGTGTCCAAAAATGTATATTAAATAATTACTAGCTTTAACTGGCAATAAAAATAGTGACATCCTCTAGGTGGAACATCCTCTATGTTTTACGTGAATCAGATGCCCAATTCAATTGTCTATCAAATTGAAACCTCTCTTTAAGTTTTGGTAGAGAATGCATTTTCTTATTATTTAGACCTCATTTATCATGGAATGTTGACATTTTAGATTTTTTTAAAGCAACATATGTACAAAATGTTGCTTTGTTGGTGGTAAAAAAATTATATTGCAAAATTTTGTTTACAAAAAAAACTATTTAAATATTTGTTAAAGAGTAAAATAACAATCTAACCAATTAAATATACCACCATTATTTTCGCCCAAAAATTATTCAATTACATAACTTAATTATTGTTTTAATTAATAAATTATTCTAAATAAATCTGCATTTGACTCAGAAATCAATATAATAATAAGTTATGAAAAATAAACGTCTCTGTTGTTATAAATAAGCATTCAACAAATAAAATAAAATTTATAAGGTGTTACTTTATACCACACTGTCTAATACAGATACAAAAATATTTTTTTTAGTATTTGGAGCAATTATTATTAATAAACGTAAACAGGCAATTGATGTATTTGAATAATGGAATTATATTAATTGGTCCTCTTTAACAAAAAATATTTAAACATTTTTTTTTTATATTTTAATAAAATTAGCGAACTATATCGACAATAATAGTATCTGTACTCTTTAAAAATGTGTTACATCTTTAAAAATAATCTAAAATGTCAATATTCCATGGATATAGTGATAACTGAGGTCTAAATTATAAGAAAATGCATTTTCTACGAAAACTTGAAGGGATAGGTAAAAAATGGTATAATACAATTTGACAGACAATTAAATTGTGCATCTGATTCTCGTATAATATACAGAGTGTTCTATTTAAATTAAAGAAGTTATTGCCGTTTAAATCTAGTAATTATTTAATATAAATTTATAGACACTCTGTATAATGTAGTCTTTTGTTTATTATTGCAACACACTATCTGATCAATAAGTAAACTTCAGTAAATAATTAAAAACTTTTACACCTTTGGAGAAATGAAGCCTTAAAATTTTTAATGCAATTTCATAAAATTGAAAATATTTCAAAAACGGTAAGGTTTAAGTGTGATAAACCTTAATCAAATTTACCTTTATTTCAATCGTAGAATCTGAAAATGAAATAATATACAGGGTGTTCCATTTAAAAAAAATACAACTATAATATTTTTTACTTATTTGGGACACTCTGTATCTTGTAAAAATATTTTTAAATTGTAGCTCTAATAGTTCTTCAACGAACCCAAAACTTACAATTTGTAAAAATCTAATCGTTTAGCTACAATTCTCCGTGTCGTATGTGGTGAACAACCCTGTATAATTAATTTTATTAAAATGTTTTTATTTAATTTCACCTGTATGTATGTATCTATCTAACGGAATCGTTTTGATAGTTATTTCCACTTTAAAACGTCAAATTAAATTTAAACTTTGCATACTTACAAGGATCGTCGGCATGAGTGCGAGAACACTAAACAATATGGAAAAAAACCTCAAGATATTAGGGTTCGGCAATAATAGTGCGTCGGGTATCTGTAGCTCCTAGAATAAAAAACTTAGGAATTTTGTTTAAGTGCAAATCAAAAATATGTACAAGGATGTATTTCAGGAAAATAATTTAACTTCTACAGGGCTTCTACTTCTGAGTAAATCGTAATGATTTTTTTAATGGAATACCTTGTATATTATTAGATTTTTGGCTTCCCTTCTAATCTCTTTACATAATTCTAAGATAATTTTAAATATGTTTTCATAGTTTCAGATATATTAATAAATAAAGAAAGAAAAATATATTTTTTCAGCCTTTGTTAAAAAATTATTAACATACAAGAACTGTCTTGAAATCGAAACTATATTAGGTATTTACTTTAGATGGCCTGTTCTTACTATAAATATCGTAATCTTAAATCAAACAGATTAGATCATGACATGTATTGAGTATTTCCATTCTAAATATCTTATGAACGGTTGTTCGTAGCGATTTTTACAAAGAGATACCTATTTTTTACGTAAAAAGTGCTGGAAATGTATATTTTTTCACTCGGTAGTTTTATACAGGTACGGACAAAAAGTTATTAGGCTTCAAAACACTTAAAACATATAAAGGTGGCGTCCTCTACTAGTAGGAGTCCCATTGACATCAAAATCAAATTTCTTCTGCCAAAAAACACCTAGACACCAATTTTCATCCAAATATTGACTTTACTTCAGAAATTATTTAGAAAAAATCGAAATAAAAATGAAACTTCTACACCCTGTATCTCTGAAACTAAGCATTTTAGGAAATATATTTATACGAACTTTGTTACTTATTTTTATCTGCAGAATATGCTGCCGAAGTTTCCTGAATACTGTTCGGACCATCCTGTATATTTTTTTCTTATTTATAAAATGTGTGTGTCATAATCTCTGAAATTATCAAAATATTTATGATTATGTAAAGTGATCTGAAAGGAAACCAATAATGCAATAAAAAAATCATCCCGATCCACTCACTCTTTTGAGCCACCCTATAGAAGTTAAATATTTTCCTGACATCCATGCTAATACATACTTTAGGTTTGCACTTGAACAAAATTCCAAAGTTTTTTATTCTAGGCGCTACAGATGCCTGACGCACTATTGCCCGACCCTGTATAAATCTGAAAACGGTATTAGATAATTATGAAGCAACACAATGAAACCAAAAAATAGCGTTTAAAATATTAGTAAAGTGATGATCATTGCTCACAAACATATAGAATATTTTTTGGCATTAGTAATAACATGAACAACCGATTTGCACATTTTTGCCCCAATTCATTATTAAGCCCCAAATTCATTATTAATTATGAAAATTGTTAATATTCATTAAATACTAGTATTTGTGTTGAAATTAATAATGGTTTAAGTTTATTAATTATTGTTATTATACCTAGCATGTGATTTCTGTTCATAAAATAAAATTCAAACTATTATAATCACAATTAAATAAAACAATTACCAATGTTTTAATTATATAGCTTCTTGTCTAAGACAAATTTGACAACAGTTACATTAATTAATTAAAAAATAATTTATACTTTTAAATTTAAAAACTTAAAACCGTCACGTATAATAAAGAGCTGCTATATTTTGATATAAATCCGATTTTGTCGATCTATAGCTTGAGGTATATAACTTGTAGGCACGATGGTTACTATAGTCCATCTGAAGATTTGTATAGCCGCGGAGGTGGTGGATATGATAGCGTAAGCAGATCAAACTACGGAAGACCCGAATACGGAAATGGAGGATACTATGGATATGCACGAGGTTATAGTTATGGGGGAGACAGAGATAGGTAAGTTTACTATTTAAGGCGCATGTTATTCCATATTATTTTACAACACGAATAGGATTTACAAATTCATCCTTATCGGGTATCATGCATATTGTATATTAGTAAATTAGTTCTATACTAAAAATTGAACATATATGTCTGTGTATGCTATACAATATCCGGTATACCGGGTGCGTCTCAAAAGTGGCTCACTCCTATAACTTTTTCTTATTTTTTCCAGTTAAAAAAAATCGAGATTTGGTATGTTAGTATATTCAATTGTTTTCGGTCACTTCCTGTTTCACCGGAAATTACTACACCTTTTGATTTTTAAATGGCATCCTCGGTATTTTTTTTTACTTTATTTGATAGAAAATAACATTCTGAATAGAATGACATATCATATGTCAACTTTTGTCATTTGCGCATATGGTTTATTTCAAATTATAACTTGCGGTTCGTAACGAAAATTTTACTCGAAATGTGTGTGGTATCAAATTATTCGTAAAAAAATGGTTTTTCCTAATATGTTAATGAGCCACCCTCGTTCCATTTGAAAAAAATGAGATATGATTAAAAATGCGAAATTGACGGCTCCTTGATTAAGAATTAGTGTTTTTAACATAGCCATGGCACTCTAGATTGAATTTTAAAATACGATTATTTATTAAGCGAGAATGTCAAAAGTTGACATATGATGTCATTCTATTCAGAATGTCATTTTCTACCGAATAGAGTAAAAAAATACCGAGGGTGCCATTTAAAAATCACAAGTTGTAGTCATTTCCAGTTAAACAGGAAGTCACCAAAAACAATTGAATACGTCAATCAATCCTAATTTATGTCATATACTAACATACCAAATCTGTTTTTTTTTATCTGAAAATATAAAAAAGTTATAGGGGGTGAGTCACCTTTAAGATGCCACCCGGTATAGATTTTTGGAAACAGAAATCTGACAATTAAACTAAGTTTTAAACCTTTGTGGCAGATTTATTCCTTAAAAATGTTAATTACTTTAAAAATGTTATTTTTGCACACCACTGTTTTGAATCTAAACGGAAACCAGATTTTTAGTGGCTTTATTACTTCTCTTCAGTATGATAATAAGAAAGAAAGTATCATACTTTGCAAAATTATGAGTTTTAAACTTTTAATTGAATCTAGTTTACTTGAAACTGGACGCATCGTTTCTTAGTAAATATAATAGTTTCTTAGTAAATATATATAAAATAAAAAATTTAGGTTACTAAAATATACAGTAAATAGAGACAAAGTCAAATTGTCCCTAGCCATTCAGTGGTATAAGTTTTCCTCTTTAATCTTCTCGTTCCTCTTTAGTGTTGTCCTCTTTTATTTTTTTTACTGAGGTTATTTTATGATAACGACGAAAATCCCTTAATTTTTGTTAAATATGCGTAAATTAAAAGTAGCTAATTTTTAAAAATTAGAAGTGAATTTTTTTAGATAAAATGCGGAATTTTGTTATCGCTAAATTTTTTAATAAAGATTTTTCCCTCTCCAAGTAATTGGAGAAGATTGACTTTAATCCCCTGAGAGAGTCTGAAGAAATTTAAGTCAAAGATCAATGTGCTCTTATTATCTAGTAATTTTCTCTGCTTCTTTGCCGTTGATTTTGATATAATACGAAATTTGACGTAATTATATTAATAAATTAATTTTAGTTAAGTTATTTTGCAGCTGTTGATTCATGTATTTGATTAACACAATCAATTGTTGTACTATGACAAAAAAATACGCAGAAACTTGTTTTTCATAACAAAATACATTACATACATATGCGAGGAATGTAGGTACAATAAGGGAAAGATAGGTTTATATATTAATCTTGCTCTAGAAAAAAATTAGTAGAAAAATGCATGTTGAACTCACAGAAAGAAAGTTTTATGTAATTTCTTATGGTACAGCGTTAATATTTTGAATTTATAGGATCCCAAAATTTGATGAAGCTGGTAGTTTTTGATCGATAGATTTGCTTCATTTTTTTTATTTTTAGATGGATAATTGATATTTCAAATTTTTTATATGACAACCATTGGCTAGATTAGTTATTAAAAAAGAAGCAGAAAAAAGACTCAAAGTCTCGGTCAGAGTCTTTTTTCTACTTCTTTTTCCATTTAAACCAGGCCTCTTTGAGAAAAATGGACGCTTTCTTTACATTTAGATTAGTTATTATTAGATAGCTAGATTTGTTTTTATTTGCAGTTAATTTTTTGATTTAATTTTTTCCCAAAAATTATAAACTATGAAAATATTTGAAAATATTCTTATTTAATAAACATATTTAGAAACTGGTAAGAATTTTTTAAAACATTTGAAATCAAATATCAAAACTGGATGCAGACAGAGATATGTTTAAATATAATATTCGCCACAAAATTGTTTTGAGGGAATTTACAAAATATCGAATGTCATAGGCACACGTGTATGTTTACATAGAGAAAGGATATATCGTTGTAAACGAATGTTAACCGAAATACAATGTATCTTATTTCTATATGTTCGCAATGAAACGTGTGATGAATAGCTTTAACTAAATTACAAGCTCAGTCGCAAACAATATCAATAATTAATTATGTAAAATAGTATAGCATATTTAGTCCGTACTTCGGTCTTCTGGTTACATTTTACTGTTTAGTAATAAGATAACCAAGCTAAATAATTAACAATAACTTTAAAATGGTATTTGTTGTATGTAAAACTTGTTTGTATTTGCCGGTTGTCAGAGTTCAACATTATAAATTTATTGTAATATAATAGTCCTAAATATTAAAAAAATACAAAATTACTTTTAATGTGCAGATTGTTGAATGCATAAATTCGGTTTATATTAATCGTAACCAAATCAAGAGAATGTAGATGAGTAAGAGAGTTTGGAGGTTGAGTGAGGGGGTTAATCAATGCGACTTTAAAGATCTATTCTGTCCCCCTTTCTTCAGTTATAGTTCATCATACAGTCTATATCTCATTATATATTGGGATCTTCCTGTTGGTGGGAAAGGGTATTTTCATCCTTCTCTGACAACAGATATTCATCCCCAAGGGGTGGGTATCTACCTCTTACGAGGGTATACACCCTTCCACGGTTGGGGTTTAGCCCTCAGTTTTCTTCACAGTCGAAGAGCTTGTCTCCGGCTGAGATACTGGACGATCTATCTCCATTGTCTCGAATCTATACCTAATAGAGGATATATCCCTCTTTCCCTATTGCCTACTTGGATTTGAGGTCAATTACACTGCAAGGGTTAGTCGGTTCACTTCTACAGAGCCCCGCATGTAGGACACTAAGGGAATTAAATCAAGTACATCTAAAAGCGACAAGCCATACTTTAATGTGAGTTTTATCAGTACAAAGAAATCGTCTGTACGATCGTAAAAAACGGTGTCGAAAACAGCAGGGGAGTGACAATCGATGATAGTTTTGGCAAGGTTTTTGTGCAATTTTTCTTGATTTTATCTAGCTTCCTTTGACATTAAGTTTCAAACTGTTAGACATTTTATTTCCTTCTGTCAAAAAACTAATTATTTGAATTTTGTTTATTATAAAGTGTATTTATAAAAATATATCTCATATTTTAGTGATATCTAATGGTAATATGACATGGCCAGATATAGTTTTACAGCGCTTGATGTTTAACGTAATAGGCTACTGGTTAAAAACCAGAAAAATATACGCTTTAAAACTAAATCTTAAATAACTTAAAAACGATTTATTTTAGTTATAGAATCATGAATAATAAAAAAGTAAGGAATTAAAAAAAACCTTTTTACTAGTTAAATAAAAAAGTGGGTTTCAATTTGAAAAAAATGATTTATGATAATTTATTAACATCTCGATTCCATGACAGTTACGGCCAATATTATATGACACTCAAACAATTTAATTTTTGAAATAGATAGCCACATGTCTTCTCTCTATGTCACAGTGGCTGTGGTAATCACTAAATTTAACGTTTAGACTAAACAATTCTTTTTGACAGGTAGTTTTTTGCACCAAAAATTTTAAATATTTTTATTTCTCAAAAATGTTTAGGTGAGGTGGTTAGAGTGTTTGACCCAAATAGTGGTTAGAGTGTTAGGCTAGAGTGCTTGGCCAAAAAAATTAATAATATTTTATAGAGAATTTAAATATGTAATGAAAAATGGGATTACTCATTTAAAATAAGGAAGTTGCTGTCAACTTCCGATATTTCCGGAAGTACCGCCATATTGCAAATATTTATATTCGATAGATCTCATTGTGAAACAATGATGTGCAAAAAATCTCCGACCTAGATATTGTAGTTCTTTAGAAACTTCTAATGCGCGCTCAGCCTGGGACACCCTGTATATTTCGATTCCAGAAACACGTCTATGAAGTATTTTTTTGATTAAAATTTCGAATTTTTCGAAAGAAAAATTGGATTTTTATTAATTTTTAGTTAAAAGACATAATATCTTAACAACATTAACAAAAAACATAACATGACAAAATAGGAATGAAAAAAATAGTGGTTCTAAAAATTTAAGAAAAAAAATATTAAATTTTTAAAGTAAAGTATTTGGGTTATTTTGGACACATTTGAAAATCGAGATCTACCAGTGCTGGAAAGCATTTGCACTAATCTAGGACTCACCCTGTATAAAATATACGGTTTATAAAAAAAAACGGCTATTATTATGTACATACAGTATAAGTATATATTATATGTATAAAGGGAGTAGATGTTTTTATCGAGAGTCAAAATTTAAGAGTCGTTTTTTTTTTCTACGGCTGATCAGCATTCAAGGCGGAACATGTTGATTAAAACTAACTGAAAACTACTAGAAAAATTCTGGTCGAGTTTGCGGATATTAAATCGATCCGAATGGAAATGCGGAGGCAAAACTTTGACATTTTTCTTTATTAATACATGAGAAGTTCCAGAAAATTGGATTTTTGAGTTTTCTCTTTATAAGCTTTGCTTGGTTTATAAAGCATATTAAAATGTGTATTAGTATTTATAGTATTATTAAAATTA